CGGAAGGGCTAAGAGCGAACCTCTCTCCCTGCTTTCCAAACTACGATTTCCACTTCGCCGATTTGCTATAGTTCATTTACTCCTTTTTACTATTTTAAGTTTATTTTTATTCCTCGAGAAATCCCCAGCGCCTTCGGAGAAGTACCTCCCAAAGCCTGGCGCAGGAGGGAGAGGGTACTCTGGCACTTCTGCATTGCTAAAACTGAGACTCTTAACGATATTTGCAGCTCAGAAGGAAAAGAGACAGTCGTCCTGACCTTAGGTAATTGCAATTTGAAGCTTGAACTAATTAGATGCTTATTATAAGAGGAGAACAATACTTATTGAACATCATCTGCTCTTGTATATTGGAAGTTAGAGAAGAACTTTTCAGCTTTCCCCCCCACATTTCTCCCCCGCTCCCCTCCCCCGCTTTTTATTTATTTTTTTTTTCGGAGAAGCATATAAACACACAGAAATATTTACCGCACCCTTCGAGAATATAATTGCTGAGTAGGTAATCTCATCTTCTGCAATGGGAAAGTACATCCAATATATCACACGTAAATACGATACGTTTTAGATCTTCCCATCCTAAAGATATTACATTAAGGGTTACCCTGGTTTAAATTCAGATTATTGTCTTTTGTAGTTTTATAGATAATGGATACATGCAATAAAATTCTATCTGAATATATATTCTACCTAACTAGACACATATCGTATCGATTTATATTTTATACACATACACACGCACATTGCAGACGGCTTGTAATATGTTAGAACATTTCCAACACTTGGGTATACTGGGGTACTTATCTAAACAATCACTCATTTCCTGCTCATATCGAATGTCCAATTTGTAAAGAGAGTTAAAACACATTTACTTACTCATTTCCAACAGAACGTCTATGGAGCTCTTTAACTGGTGTAATAGATAAGTTTCTCTATTTACTCTGCACGGAGAGGAAATGCGGTTACACACACGCAGACAGAGACAGCCGCAACTGTTCAGCAACACACATTTGACAGGAAAGGGGAGATTGTTTTATTAAAAAAAGGAAAAAAATAAAACAAAAAAGAATGAATGAAAAAAAAAGATGTAAAAGCGTAAAGCTCCAGCCTACTATGCTGTGAAAATAAAATCTTCCCGAAGACCGCCACGGGGAGAGAGCATTTTTCCGGCATAAAGAGGTTCAGCATGCACACAGAGAGACACATTCACACAAATACCTGCTGGGCAGCACCAGATGAATTACCCTGGATTATCGTAAATATAGTCCTCGGCACAAGGAGGCAAGTCCTGAGCCACCGGGGTTGGAGCATTGCAGCAGATCAACCGCGCTTCCAAGCCACAGCGAAAGACAACGAAAACTGGTCCCTCAACTTGAATGCTCAGTGTTATATTCGGAGGGCTGACCAGATTCTGTTTCGCATTATTTATCGCGATTAGATCGCGACGGATATTTGTTTAACTGCACCTTTTTCTACCGTGTGGCTCTGGCGCTCGGTTAGCCGAAAAGGATGCAATTTTGTACACGACTGTAAATCTACAAGGTGACCTGAGTTGCTGGGCTGAAGTCTGTTTTTTTCGTGTGGCTCTATTAGTCCGCGAAGATGTGCTGAGGCAGGACCTCCAAAAGGCCTGTTCCATGTCTTTGTGGTTTTGTTATCATAAACAAGAACCCAGCCAAGACCACCAAGTGTTATCTTGCACACGGCCATTTCGACATTTTACTGCAAGATTTATGGCTGTAATAAACAATCTCAGAACCTCTTTTTTTTTTTTTTTTTTTTCGCCGGTACTTCCCTTTACAAACTTATAGCATCATCCTAGGTGCTTAAAGAGAGAAAAAGAAAGGAGAAGGGAAAAAAAAGGAAAAAAGAAAAGTAGCGCTTTTAATATATAGAAACACTGGATGCTCAGTTTCACTGATGAAGAAGCCTTCCATCAGGTAATAAAGGACCGAGAGTTTAGCGGCCGAATCGGGCCGAGGAGGAGATGGGGAGTGCACTCAAATGATGTTGAGAAGGAGAGAGTTAATTTCCATGCAGCAAGAAGAGCCGTTCTCATACATACCCGAGGAGTGGCACAGGGGGATCCCCCTGTTTCTTGGGAGCATGCAAGCACATCTGCTAGCTTCCACGTGTGCGGCTACGACGCAATAGTCACGAAAGAAAAAATAATAACAATAATCCTAATAGTAATAATAATTCAAGTCAACTTTTCGCCGTGCTGGGCACCCTGCACGCAGAGTGGATGGAAGAGAAAGAATTGCACTAGTACCCGGTTTGAATTGGATTTGAACCATTTTGAATATATTTAGCCCCAGCTTTCCCCTCCTGAATGCGAGGCTGTCCCAAGTTTCAAAGTGACCGAAAAGTGACACCGTGTGCATTTTGTTTCTTATTAATCTTACACATTGACAGTCTTTGTTAAATAACAAGGCGTGCCCTTCACCAGGCGACATTTTCATATTTGTTAGACGCGGTGACCTGAAGTTCACCTCGGCCTTGGACTTAGTTTTTCTAAAAGGTCTATAACAGTGTCTTTTAGATAGCAGGGTGCTTTGCCCAGGTCACTACTTCTAAAGGAAAATTAAGAAAAAAAATCGCGGGAAAATGTAAACGTTATGGAATGTATCGACTGTATCCCCTCCTTTGTTCCTGGCACTCCGAGAGCCCTCGGGACAACTACTGCCTTTCACCCCTTGCAAGCGGACGTTTTCCATGGGGCAAGGCTCCCACTTTTTATTTTATTTTATTTTATTTTATTTTATTTTATTATTTTATTTTATTTTGCCTTCTCCCCATTTTTAAAAACCATAGCTTTGCTGGCATAGGTAATGGTGCTAACAACTGGGCATTTTGGCGGGATTTGCTCGCTCAGTCCTAGCGTGGTTAAATAAACGCATATAAACTGGGATTTGTGCTGGGGTTTGGAATGAATGGTCTTTTGACCAGCCCTTCCACGCCAGAGTGCAAGACGCTGAATGTAGGGGTGAAAGGGAAGAAATAGTTCATCTTAAATTAATAATTGTTCTGCTCCTTATTCTTTCAAGGGATATTTTAAACAACAATTAAGAAGAATCAACTTTTATTGAAGTTGCAGCTTCAACTTATTTGAAAATATTCTCATTGATATTATGACTCTAAACTGGCTTGGATGTATGGAATTCGAGCGAGTAATTGTTTTGGTAAGGAAACATGTATTT